TTTGTTTGTAATTTATGTGTTTCATGAATAACATTTTCTATCAAAGTAATTGCTAAGGAACTGCTGAGATTCTGTACACCTCTGGCAAAATGGAACAAAATTCTGAATAGCAATAGACATGTTTTCTTAGCTTTGATCTGACTGAAGTCAAAGAGAAGGATGTGATCTTATTGATCACACCCTGGACTTCCTCTAAGGGCTCACTCAGATCCAATTATCCTAGAAATTCTGACAGCTTGAGAACTCCGGCAATGGTACAATTTCAAGCAAAACCTGCAACATCTTCTAGTGAAACTCATAAAATAGCCTGTATCTAGAAAGGCAACCAATACACTGTATTATAGATGTATAGGTTCTATTTGCTTCTGTACGATTAGCATTACTAAATAAACTTATAAAACAAACAATAAAACTACATTCTATATGCTCAGTATGCTACTATTTATAAACTCCAGCTGCAGGACATCACCATGGCAACAGGAATATACAAACAGCTCAGTTCTCTATGCTATGATGGAAGCATTACTAATTTAAAGAATGCAATATGCTTAAGACAGACAGAAACAATTTCACAATATAGTCATCAACCTGCTCATAAAAGAGGAGAAAGACAGAGATGAGTATTTGAAATGGCAGATAAAAGAAAACTGATTCCTTTTGCTGGACCATGACTGACAGTCACTCGTGGAGTTGAGAGAATGAAATGTTTTTAAAATGAATGAATGAATGAGGCAACAGAATGACTGAAAAAAACAGAATGGAAGAAAATCAGGTAGAAGAGCTATTGTGTCAAAGTGATCTGTGATATTTGTTCATAGCCTCATCTATAAGACAGAACTGAATAGAATCTATAATTTGGTATTTTGTAACAGATACACTCAGTCTTCAGATTGGAATGAAAAACATGCACAAAATCAGGCCACTGCCCTCACAGACCATGTGAACATGCATGTGCATTTGTTATTTCACTTAATAAATGCTAGGTACCAAGAAACACAAAGATAAATAAGATATTGGCACTGGCCTTAAGAATTAATAATCTACGCAAGAGGGAAGACATATGGGAACATATGTATATGTATAACTGATTCACTCTGTTATAAAGCAGAAACTAACACACCATTGTAAAGCAATTATACCCCAATAAAGATGTTAAAAAAAAAAAAGAATTAATAATCTAATGGAGAAGACAGTCCTCTAAATAAAACGTAACAATTTAGTGTAACTCCTGAGGTAGAAGTACTTATAAAGTATTATGGGAGCATAACACCATAGCAATGTTTTTCCCAATTATTCAGAAAGAATTGATGCTTGTATCTACAGTAAAATTTAGGTTTTATTGAAAGTTAAGTGGCAGTGATTTACAAAATATTATAAAATTCACAATCTGTTTAAAATTGACTAGAGGCAGATCAGTGCACATAAATACATTTAACTGAAATATGATTCCTCAACTTAAATGATTACAGGTTCTTTAAATTTCTCCAATCTCTAACTGTCATAAGAAAGTATGGAAATGACACTGACTCGAGTGAAAGCTTTGTTAAATGACACTGCTGACTGCTGGGACAATAATGTCTGTGAGCAGCACCAGCCTTCTCTTAAACTAAAGAGAAGGTCATCGTCAAAACCTCTCAGCTCCCTCAAAAAAAAAAGCTCACCAGTGTGCCAGAGGGAACACAACATGCATGGTTTGAGAGTGCGTGAAAGATCAGGGAAAACCACCAGTCACCTTTCAATGTCCTGTGTTCATTTTATGTTACCAGGGATTCCCTTCAATTGTCAGCGCTACTACTGAAGCAAAGCTCAAGCTTCAACTTAAGTCAGTGAAAATCAGGCTGAAACTGCAACCTTTCCCAAACTCATATAGAGTAAACTCCATTTTCCGCAAAGCAGTAAGGTGTACCAAATTCTTGAAAGAATTACTCTTAAGGCCCGGCTCCCCGTCCCCTGACAGCAATCACTGAAGGAAGAAAGCCCATTTAGTAAAGAAAATTGAAATGCCTTTTTCCTAGCTATAAAACATTACCACCTCGTTCACTGGAACTACCTGAGCTGTTGTATGTTTCTCAAATACTTTTCTGCCATTCCCTATTATCCATGCATTCAATAAACATTCTTTAAATGCTTTAAGGTGCCCTAGACCTGAGGACTGAAATGTTTTTCTTCAAGGGCCAGACAGTAAATATTTAAGACTTTGCAAGCCAAAATGCAAAATCAAGGAAATTATGTAGGTACTTAAAAAATCAGTTAAATATACAACCATTTAAAATGTAAAGTTATCATTAGCTCACAGAAAAACAAAAACAGGGCACAGATTGCTGATTTTAGTGCTAGATCACAGTCAAATATTCAGACCAAGCTAAGACCATTAGGTTACTAAATTAAAAGAAAAGGTCTTTTGCAACAAAACCTAGCTGCTTCTAGTAAGAACCTGCAGGAATGATCTAATAACGCTCTGTCCAATATAATTATCTACTGGATATTAGTTATTTCTATTATATCTATCTATACTAGATATTTCAATACCTACAGAAAATGTTCCACATCTGTACAGTTCAACAGGGTAGCCACTAGACACAAGGGGCTGTTGAGCATTTCAAATATGTTGAATGGACTAAAGAATAGAATTTTAAAATTTTATTAAATCTTAGTTATTTAAAATTTACATTTAAATAGCCACATACAGCTAGTATATGGAAAAACAGATGTAATAGTTTTTTTATATATCAATTAGCAGGGCCTAATTGAATTTGCTTGGGTTTTTGGTGACCAATTAGGGCATACATATCTTTACAGGTTAATACCAACAGATCACAGTTCAAATTGTTCTTAACTTCTGGTTAACATTTCATTGGGAGTTGGTAACTATTCGTGATGTACATTATATTATAGAACTGAAAAGACCTTCAGAGAACACAGACTTGTACTCTATGAAGTACAACGTGTGCAGCATGTTCCAAAGAGGGCAAAAGAGGTGTATTGCATGATGGCTCATAACTACAGTTTTGAAGTTAGGAAAAAAGCACCAGTTCTGCTTTAGAGTAGTACTGGGATCTTAGGCAAGTTATTTTACCTCTTTCTTCTTCAATTTCCTCCATTGTAAAACAGGACAGTAACAGGAGCTTCTCTACTGGATTGGTGGCATGATTAAATGAGATCAAGGACTTAAGAACACAGAACACTGCCAGCTCACTGAAATCATAAATGTTACTACTTTATTAAAATAATGTTATATGACAAGTATTTTGGGATACAGTCCACAATCTGACTTGGTAGAAACCATTTCATCACTCAGCATGTAAGGAAGCTACATATGGAGTGTTGGATATATATCACTGTTATTTTTATCCAGCAGACACAACTTTGAATTCTGGCTTTACAACCTCCTAATGTAGCCATGTCACATGACTAGTCTGAGCCTCATTTCCTTATCTGAAAATGAGAAGAATATTTACCTCTTCAAGTTGAGAGAATAAAATGTGAAAAAGTTTTGCTCATATACATATTAATGTTGGTTACTGATTGAGTTCATCTTAAAATCAAGTCTCAATTCCCTGTTTCAATTTGAGATTTTTTTTTCTTGTTCATCCTTTAGGGTTACTGAGGGATAACTACTTCCTTTCTTCCATCTCTTGGGCCAAAGGGATCACAAACTTCAAAAGTAAAAACTGAATGTAGCTGTCAGCATTAGAGGACAGAATCAAGAGTAGTTTCTCTTGAGAGAAACTATGACTATGAGAGTTAAATTATGACATTTATGAAAAACCAATGAGGTGAATAATAAAAATCACCCCAGATCAAAGTAGAATTTGAGAGTAGCCATGTTGGTGGTATTAATATATCTCCATATGTAGAAATTTGCCATTTAAAAATCCTAAGGATAAGTACCTGGTGAGCATGGAACACTGGAACACAGAAGATGCAGGAGGCCAAGAAGTAAATTTTGACACAGCCGTAAAGAATGGGTAACCCCCAAATCACCTCATCTGTTTCCTGCACCAAGTGTTTCCCTACCACAGAGATGGATGCATATGGCAAATACAATCTTCTGCCATTACACTTTATCATCGTTCCACCTAGATGGCAAATAGGCTGCATATTACCTGCCAAATCCTAATGAATTGCAGTGGAGGTTCTATAAGGCTGTGCAGGCCACGTCTGAACTCAGCAGGAATGAGAACCATGATTGATCAGCCATGCCTGCCATCAGAAGGAAGGGGGGGGCGCCTTCATACTGTGTGTGCAGATGCTTTCATAACACTCGCTGCCACTTCTCTGATTTTAGGAGCAAAAAACTTCTGAGTGTAATCTGAATTTCATGTATCTTTTTGTACAGAGAATAGCCTGATAGCTGAGAGTCCAGCTCTCTTGATCATTATGTTTCTGGTTTGTTAATTACTCAATTGGCATTCTGGTTCATTGACTAGTCTCTTGTGGGCTTGGTTGCATAAACTCCAACTGGGCAGCAGCATCCATTCCCACTGAACTGACAAAGTTAATTTTTTGAGTCTGCAATACTGATAAGCAAACCCCAGACTATGGTAAATTCATAAAGGTAAATCTTATGTGACCTCTTAATAGCCAAACAGAAGGCTGGCTTTCCTGATAAGAAGAATAACTATCAGAGACTTCTTTCAGACTTCAACAAAGACTATTTTTCATCAGTTTCATCACTTCTAATTTTAATAATTTTCTTTCTTAAATTTTTCTTTACAGATGTGCTATTGCCAGTCTCAGATGATGTTTTTCTCTATACGAAAGCTCTCGCCATCTCTCATTTTGGAGTTTAAAACCAGCGAAAGCACTCTGATTAGTCTAGTTCTTTCTCAGCCTATGATTCCATCAGCCTTTCAACATTACTTATATCTTCACCTTTCTTTTGATTCCAGAATCTTTCTTTCCCAAACCCACACTCCATCATACCCAACTTGCGACAGCATCACTTCTTTTTCATGTCCACACAACAACTGAAAAAATCCTATGTTTTCTAGTTTTACCTTTCGAACATTTGCCAACCGATTCATCATCAAGGACTCCTCTCGGTCATCATCGTCATCCAAGTCCAGCATCGGCATTCCGAAGGGGTCAATGATGCTACAGCACCTGGAACCTTCATCTCTTGGATCAAAGGGGTCCACGATTATGGGCTCCGTTCCTTTTATTTCGCAGCGACAGAAGGGGCAGCCCTGGCCATCTGACTCCTGAACAAACACAAAAATTGTGCTGATTGGTCTTTGTTCAAATAAAACACTACTGAGAGGGGCCAAAGTTCTATTATAAAAAGAAGTTGCAAAAAATAGGTTTTCAGGTAGGCAGTGGGGGTGGAGGAAGATCTGCCTTGAAGGTGGTAGAGTAGAACGGGGAACCAACAAAATATATGTTCAGTATTTAAAATTTCAAATTTTTTAAGAAAAATTTCTTTACAAAAACCTTTGATTTAGGATAAATCAAAAAGTTAGGAGCTTAACTTTATTTTACTGAATGTTCATTTACAATTTTAATGTATCAAAACTTTAAAGTCCTGCAGAAAACTGGAAATCAAATCATGTCCCTCTTTACCAAAAGGCACCAGTGCTAATTAAACATTCTATAAAAAGGACATTTTGATAAAAATTCATTATAAATAAAGTAATAGTATCAATTAGAACAATCCATTTCAAAATCAATTCTGGAAAAGTTCCTGTGCACATAACTATGGCTACATATTTCCATTTTAATTGCCGAGGTCTTTTAAAGCTTTGGCTTATAAGCAATCAGTGGGAAAAAATAAGTTTATTTTCAGAAACCATCATCTGTCCTGAGAGCCTGTCATCCTGACACAGCTCATATGGACTGTAATAATATGTGAGATATCAAGCTTTGCACCTCATCTTGTTTTCAAACTAGATACTGCAAAGGGATTTGTGCAAACACTTTTGGGCCAGAAATTCATTTACTGGTAATTACTGAAGTTTTCTGAAAATCTCCCAATTCTATTTCTCAAAAACTAACTACATTAAGAATTCACGGTTGGGAGGGAAACAGGACAAGACTGTTTTCTTGCCCTGCAGATAATGCTGACTTTTAGAGATAGATGGTATATGACATTCACCACCATATTTTTGTTTCTCCATTATACCCTGACTTTACTAGTATGTTATTTTTAAAAATTATAAAACTTATAAGATCATTTTAAGGCAGAAATCGCATGAGAGCATCATTTTTAGAGATGAGACTATGAATGAAAAGAGCTAACATCTTTAAAGAAACCATTCAGTACTTAAGATTGTCCCATGCACTTGGTACGACGGGAACGTGGTGATCTACCTGCCCTCCAGTGACACTCTGATCAGTGGTGGAGTAACACTCTCCTTTCACTGGACAATTACTTAGCATACACTCTGTGGCAGATTCTGTGGTACGTAGTTTATTCTTTCCCAAGCATCACTCTGATTAACAAACTGAACATCTCCTTTGCCAAACAAATTGTCAAAAAAAGAAAAACAAATGCTTTCTGGATTGGTTAATGAAAAGAAACTGCAACAATTCCTTATTCATCGACTGCTACATAATTTGGGAAAGAAACTTGGAATGGTAAAATAGTTGAACTAAGGTGGTATGAAGAGATACAGACAGGCTAGTACAAAATCCTTTGATGTTTACTGCCGCGTGTGCTCAAGTCTGGTGAGCTTCAAGGCAACTCAGGTATTTGTTCCATCATTTTACAGATGATAAAACTGATACTTAATTCTCCCATCTTACATTGATATTTTCTAACACAGTAGCAAATATTTAAGGAAAGCTAAACCTTTCTCCTATCTTTGATAACAAGAACATTAAATGTAAGTACATTTTCAATATAGGTTGTCATCCACGTAAAATCCCCTCATTATAAAAGTCAAAATGGACCCATACTGTGTGTCTGCAGTGAATTTTCCTACTGATCTACATAAGATAATTTCAAACAGATAGTTCTAATATATAAGACCAAGATGAGAAAGAACCAATGTACCCTGCATCTTTAATGCATGAAGAATGGAAAGTGGTATTTGTGGCCCTAAGCAGAGCAATACAAAGCTATAGTAATTAAAACAGTATGGAACTGGCACAAAAAGAGACACAGATTAATGGAACAGAATAGAGAGCCTAGAAATGAACCCAAGGATATATGGTCAATTAATTTACAACAAAGAAGCCAAGAATATACAATGGGGAAAGGACAGTCTCTTCAATAAATGGTGTTGGGAAAATTAGACAACCACATGGCAATAAATAAATAAATAAATAAACAAACTGGACCATTATCTTACACCATACACAAGCATTAGCTTAAAATGGATTAAAGATTTGAAAGCAAGAACTGAAACCATAAAACTTCTAGAAGAAAATATAGGCGGTAAGCTCCCTGACATAGGTCTTGGCAAGATTTTTTGAACCTGACACCAAAATCAAAAGCAACAAAAGCAAAAATAAACAAGTGGGATTATATCAAACTAAAAAGTTTCTGCATAGCAAAGGAAACCATCAACAAAATGAAAAGACAACCTGCTGAATGGGAGAAAATACTTCCAAATCATAGACCTGATAACAGGCCAATACCCAAAATACATAAAGAACTCAGACAACTCAACAACAAAACCAAAATAACAATCTGATTAAAAAATGGACAGATCTAAATAGACATTTTTCCAAAGATATATATATGGCAAACAGTTACATAAAAAGATGTTCAACATCACTAATTATCAGGGAAATGCAAATCAAAACCAAAGTGAAATATCACCTCATACCTATTAGAATGCCTATTATCAAAAATACTAGAAATAACAAGTGTTGGTGAGGATGTGGACAAAGAAGACCCTTGTGTACTGTTGGTGGGTATGTAAATTGGTGCAGGCAGTATGGAAAACAGTATGGAGGTTCCTCAAAAAATTAAAAAGAACTACCATACAGTCCAGCAATTCCACTTCTGGATATTTACCTGAAGAAAATGAAAACACTAATTAGAAAAGATATATGCACACCCCATGTTCACTGCAGCATTATTTCCAGTAGCCAAGATATGGAAACAACCTAAGTGTCCATCAGTGGATAAATGGATAAAAAATTGTGGTACATATATACAATGGAATATTATTCAGCCATAAAAAAGAATGAAATCTTGCCATTTGCCACAACATGGATGGACCTCAAGGGCATTATGTAAGTGAAATAAGGCAGAGAAAGACAGATAGATACCATATGATCTCTCTTACATGTGCAATCTAAAAATTAATTAACTCAAAACAAAAATAAGTTCAGATACAGAGAACAGATTGGTGGTTGCCAGAGGTGGGGGAGTGGGTGGTGGGAGAAATGGGTGTACAGTTTTTTTCTTTAGTTTTAGTAAGTTGAATGCCACTAAGTAAAAAATTAAAATATAAAAGAGCTGATGTTCCCTGTGTCTTTAATGCATGAAGGATGGAAAGCTGTACTCTGGGCCCTAAGTAGACTCTTCATGCATTTATACATTTTTTAAAAATTATTACATAAATTTTCAAACATAAACAAAAGCAGAGAAAAAAGTGTAATGAATCTGCATGTACCTATCTCCCAACTTCAACAATTATCAATTCACACCCAATTTTTTTTGTAATTTTATTTATTTTTTTATACAGCAGGTTATTAGTTATCCATTTTATACATATTAGTGTATATACGTCAATCCCAATCTCCCAATTCATCACACTCCCCCCGCCAATTCACACCCAATCTTGTTTCAGCTATATGTTTACTTGTTCCCTCCGCCCCTGGATAATTTTGAAGTACATCCTACACATTACATAAATTCATCTGTAAACGTTTTAGTATGTGTACCTAAAAACCAGAAAATCTTTTAAGACCTAAGTATAATACAGTTATCATAACTACAATTAATCTATTCAATCTAAATAATTAAAGTCATATTATTTTTGAGTACAGTGGCTAGAATGCATAATCAACTGTATTCCCCTTCAAAGACTTCCTTAGAACCTCCAGGGTCAGTTTGCATGTTGTTTGGTTAAGGATGACTTCTGGTTTATGTGATCTATTTCCTGATAAAGGGTAACTGAAAAGATTGTGTTTGGAAAGGGAAGGAGGTGAAAGGCAATAATAGCATCTTGATGGTACAAGAAAAAGAATGGGAACAGTTCATCTAAAACTGAATTTAGGTTTTTCGCCATCTCTCCTACCTTAAAGTTTAATGCTATACAAATTACTGATGTGAGAGTAGCTGCTTTATGAGTATATGTCACAAAATATATTTTCTGTTAAGCTTTATCTTTGTTGAGCATTTACATTACTTACTAGGATCAAAATCCAGCTGCAATGTACTTCCATTTTGATTTGCAAACACAGATCACACAACATGCCTCCTCTAATATGACTTCACCCACCACTTTCTCTGTAAACTGACTATCGTCACATGCAAATTAAGTTTGACCATATTGTCAAATTTGGTACTCATAATCTCAAATTTTGGTGCTGTTTTGGTACTCCACCTCATTTCTGTCAGATGGTTGATTAAACACATATGAAGAATGTCTTCGATAGATACCTAACTCTTCAGGATTGTGCCTCAATAATTAAAATAATGTTTCTGTCAATATACACTTAACGCAAGATCACAGAACATATGTTAATGAAGAAGAAGGACCAATACATAACTCCTTCTCTAGTCCCCAACATATTCACATTCTGAGAAAATTAAGAGGAAGTACTTGGACTCCATCTGTTCTAATTCACTCAGTAGACTTCACTTCCTCAAATAAATCCTCCCAAACCAAATGAGACAGAAGTTTTCAGTGCGTTCTACACCATCTGAAACTTAACTATGTAATATGCTCATGATAAAACTACTCAGACTCATTTGGCAACCATAAATACTGCAAGTTAATGATATTAAATATAACTTTAGGTAACCTGAGAACAAATTAACATTGACAGAGAAATAGAAAAAAAAAATTAAGTTCCCCCCAAAATTCCCATTCCCCAATTAACACCCTATGTAAAAATCCAAATAAATATTGTCACTATCATCTCATCATCATCATGTATCAGTCACCTTCCGTAGTATTTCTGTTTAAATGTTGTCCAGATCAATATTATCTCTTAAATACTTTCTTTTCATTTTTTAAAAGATAAACATCATATATAGTACAATTTCTTTTGCTCCCAAGATGATTATTTGAAGGCACACTTT